TTTTTTTTTTTATTCATTTATTTATTACAATTCTGAATTCAGCTCATACTTTTTTCTCTATTTTACAGGCATATGAATGTGATCAGTGTGATGAAGTCTTTGTACGTATTGGCCTATTGATGAGTCATCGTAGGGGACACCATCGTCAAAATTTATCTTGCACAGATTGCGATGCAAAGTTCTCTCACTATAATAGCTATAGGATTCATTTACGAAGCCATAAAGGAGATAAGCCTCATAAATGTGTAGATTGTGATATGGCTTTTGTGCAGCAATGCCATTTGCATATTCACCGTAGAACACACACTGGAGAGAAACCATTTATGTGTGAAATTTGTCAACAAGGATTTAAGCAGATGTCTCACTTAACAACACATATGAGGATCCACACTCAAGATAAGCCTTATGTATGCTCACTATGCAATGCCTCTTTCTCTCAGACCAGTAGTTTAAAACGGCACAAAAGACGACACACAGGAGAGAAGCCTTTTAAATGTGACGTATGCGGTGCACTCTTTGTTGAGAGAAGGAATCTTGTAAGACATCAGCTAACACACACTGGGGAAAAACCATACAAATGTGAACAATGCCCAGCATCTTTTACGCAGATGATTGATTTGAAGCGTCATCAAATGGCACATTCAGGTCTGAAGCCTTTTAAATGTGATATATGTGAAGCAGCATTTAGTCGCAAGAACAATCTCCAGTGGCACAAACTGACTCATGAAGGAGATACCCCATACAGATGTGAGAAATGCAATGCTGGTTTTAGTCTCCAAAGGGACATGAAGGCTCACATGAGAACACATACTGGATCCAAACCATTTAGTTGTGATAAGTGCGAGTCAACTTTCGCTCAGTTTAGTACACTTAAGCGTCACAGACAGAGCCACACAGGAGAAAGACATTTTGTGTGCTCAAAGTGTAATGGAGCCTTTAAGGACAAAAGTGCTTTGAAAAGGCATCAGCTTAGACATGAAGGAGTTAGACCTTATGCTTGTCAGAAATGTGACTCGACTTTTATTGAGTACCGTAATCTGAAAAGGCACAAAGTAACAGTTCATGGTGAAGAGCGATTTGAAGGTGGTGATGTTATGATGGAACCCAAAGAAAGTGAGAACATTCAAAACATTCCACCTCCCAAGAAAAGGATTGGAAAGCATGACAGTGATGAAACACTGAATGAAATGTATGATTCAAACTATGCATCAGCTTCTGTTGTACAGCCACAAGAAACAGGCCATCAGCAACAACAGCATGTCAATGAAGTTGTCTCCTTGCCACCATTGACACCTCTCCCACAAAGTCAGCCTCAGGTACATACAACTACTACCTTACCTACTCACACACAAACTCCTATGGTTAATGAGATTGTCACTATTCCTGCCCAAGCTCCAGGGCAAATGCCAACACTAATGCTCACTCAGCATGGCCAACCCCCTCGACCAGGGAGACCAGCTAACAACTGTCAGAATTATCAGTCACATGTGCTGACATATGTGGAAGGGAGTTTTGGTCAGTGGCATTCATGGTGCTTTTGTGAGACTCCAAACATTCCTAATGGTTCACAGAATATGATTGATGGCACAACAACAACTGTAGCGACTCACCCTCCTGCTTCCACTGCTCTATCTGCAGCTCCACTACCCCAGCATCAGCAAGTAACATACACAGAACTCCAGCAACCACAAACACAACAAAACCAAGATGCTGTGGCTGTTCAAGAGGTGACTCAGACAGAATATCATCAAACTCCACAGTATCACACTAACTACCCGCAACCAATCCATCATTATGAAGAAAGCCATCACCAAGACCCACTAGACCAAATAAGCCATCATCAACAACACCATCAACCATCTCATCATCAGCAGCTTCATCAATCACATTCTCACCAGGGCGACAGTAAGATAAGTTCCGAACCTCAGGTATTTGCTATACCAGGCATTCAGCAAGACCAACAAGACCAACAGCAGCAGCAACAACAGCAGCAGCAACAACAGCAGCAGCAGCAGCAGCAGCAGCAGCAGCAACAACAACAACAACAACAACAACAACAACAACAACAACAACAGCAACACCCACAGCCACATCAACATCAACATCAACAGCAACAGCAACAGCAACACCCACAGCCACATCAGCAGCAGCAGCAACCACCACAAGACCAGCAGCAGCAAGAATCCCAGCATCACCAAGAACATCAGCAACAGCAGCATCACCAACACCACCACCATCACCAAGAGCCACAACAATTGCAGCCACAACCTGATCAACATCAAGACTTATCAGAACCTCAGGCTGATCCTCAAGTGACTTTCCAGTACAGTTTAACAGTGAATAATCCTGCTACTGGGGATATCCAAATCCAGAGTGAAGCATTTCCAGCCAACCCTCCTGACACACCTCCTATCAAGAAGAGGCGTCTTGCTAAAACTCAGCAGGAGCCACATGAAGTGCGGATATATACTTGCGCTTCTTGCCCAAGACAATTTACTAGAATAAATCACTTGATTATTCACCAGCGAAGGCATACAGGAGAAAAACCATACCAGTGTGGTGTGTGTCTACAATCATTTACACATAAAAATAGTCTTACAATTCATATGAGAGGTCATACAGGGGAGAGGCCATATAAATGTGCAACTTGTGGGTCATCATTCACTCAGAAGAGCAATTTGCGTGTACATAATCGAACCCACACTGGTGAAAAACCATTCAAATGTGACATGTGCGAAGCTTCATTCAGTCAGGGTAGTCATTTGACTGCTCACAAACGAATTCATAATAACGAACGGCCATATGCATGTGACAGCTGCCAACAAATGTTTACACAGCGTAGTGCTCTGAAACGGCATATAATGACACATACAGGTGACAAACCACACAAGTGTGAGGAGTGTAGTGCCAAATTTTCACAGAAAGATGACTTAAGAAGACACTTAAAGGTTCATTCTGGAGAAAAGCCAATCACGTGCTCTTACAAGCATTGCAATATGAATTTCACAGATAGAACTGGTCTGACAAGACACATAAAATCAGTACATTATGATAAACCAGAGTTAGCAGGAGATGGAAAGAAAAAGAAAAGAAAGAAATCAGGATCAAAACCAGCCCCAAATTCAAGTAAACCAGCCCCAAATCCAAGTAATAGTCCAAAACCTGTGAAAGGAGGAAAAGTTAAGGCCTCAACAGTAGAGCCAACTAGGATAAGTAGACGTCTGCGAGAAGCAGCTGAAAAGAAAAAGGTTAAACCAGAGCATCCTGATTTTATCATGGGTGATTTTATAGATGTGGATGTAGCGATCAGTGATGTGAAACCAGCAGCTCGCCAGAAATCACCAAAGAAGATAGCTGATAAGTCTCAGGAAAGTAAACAAACTGAAAAGGCAAGAATGGAGTCGTGGTGCTTTTGTGAGGTACCTCATGGCCCAGATGAACCTCATAATCATGCTGGAGTTGAAACTAAAGCAATGAGTGATTTAACTGCCAATATTGTTAATAATGATAAGGGATGTACATCAAAGATAAATGACAGTGATACTAACACAGATCTAGTTGCAAGTGCTCATGCCACTGGTGCAACCTCCCTGCTTCAATTATCAATGGAACACGTGGCTCATGGTTCCATTCCTCCTAGTACTATTAGTGAGGGCCTGCAAGAAGCCACTGGTGCTGTAACCATTGATGCTTCATCTTTAGTAGTTCCTCAGATGGAAGGAGGACCACAAAATGTTGTTGGGTCTAGCAGTCAACCAGTAGTTGCTTCAGCCACCCAAGCTTCTCCGTCAGTTGGGCAGAGTGTAGTGGGTGGCCATGTGGTTACTGCCATAAGCCAACATGGTGCCCAAGGAAGTGGGCGATTAGTTAGTCAGCCGATGATTAGTGGGCAAGTTGTCACCGCCGGTCAACTGGTTGGCACTAGTCAGTTGATGACACCAGAGGGTACAATCTACATTGAGGCCAGTGAAATGTTAAGCAATGGAGCAGTTGTAATAAACCCTGGCCAAGGGGCCTATATCAGCTATGATCAGATTACAATTGGAGCAGATGGTCAGGTAAGAGTAATGTAGATATTGTTTGTAATAAGAATCATAGTACTTCTTATACAACAACAAAAAACATTTTAACATCCATTTCCCAGTGTACAGAGTTTGGACAAGTCCTTTGCTTGTTCTCCTCCATATCCTTTAGTCTTGAGCATTGGAGCAAAGGCTGTCAGACCTTCATGGCTATCATCCTATGTCTAGCCCCCCCCCATCTGTTTACTTCCTTAGATGTGAGAACAATCCTGAAATGATAAAAGACTAACTTAATCCTAAATGGCCTCAAGGAGCCATGAGCATGGTAATCCCCTGTTTAGCCCCACTGACTAACTTGACCCTCTACCACAGGACTCCTATTAAAGGGCAAGGGATTGTCTAAGTAGATATTCACATTTGGTAATCGTTGGTATGACCTTTATGGGGTAATGAAGATGAATGACAAAAACTGCTCTTTTCTCAAAATCATATTTTCATGCCTGAAAGTAATATAACTTTGTATGGAATTACACAATTTTAATAATTCTTGTTGCAAAATGATCGTCTAGTTCGTATCTACTAACTGTAGCTAAGTCATGCATTATTTCCACCAAATACATTTTTTACTGAAAATTTAATGGCGATTTTCTGACAAAAAAAAAGTCACTTTTTTGCAAGGTAACTGAAACATTGTCGTTTCAGATAGATTTACATAAATGCTATAGTTGTTGCTCCTATTTGTTGACTAACTCTGGTCAGAAAGAAACTGCAGTACTATTCACTAGAAGGAAGCCATTACATACTTTTTTAATTCTATCATCTCGCTTTTTTTTTTTTTTTTTTTTCTAGTGCAAAAAATTATGCAGCTTTTTAAAATCAAATTTCTTGTAATCAAGCATCACATATCCATACACATTGTTTAAAAATTTTATTGATCTAGCTAAAAAACTAAAGTGAAGAGGACTGGATAATGAATTTCGTGACCATACAGATGACTCTTTCCCCTTATGTATGGGTATGGCTATTGCCGCCATGACGTAATTACTATGATGTGATGGTAAGTCATGATTTGCTACAGCGAGCACATGCCCTGCCAGAAAGGCTAGACTTGCATAATGATTACGTCGCAGAAAATTCCAGCCCTGTCATGATAGGGTTAATACTCTTACCAGAATGGTTTCCATCATCCCAACTGAATGCCCTGTGTATGACAAAGATTGGTCAGACTGTGAAAAGGCCCTACTTTCCTAACTTGCTGATTATTATACAATGTCAATACTTTGCTACACTATTCTTACCAGAGGCCACCAAAAGTTTTATACCAATATTGCCAAAATTACACTCCATAGACATGACGTCCCTCATGAAGTTTGTATCGGAGAGTCTTGACCTGTCTGACACTGCCCTGAGGTAGCAGTTCTCAGGGCACTATTGTGGCAAAAGGGAGTCCCATGTGTATCCATGAGGGAGCGGGAGGGAGGGTTGGTGTAGATGGGGCTGGGGGATAAGATGTGTTGGGAGGGAGTAGGGGGAATCTTAGGAGGAGGATAAATGTCACTTGGACTCACTGTATGCAAAGCCAGGCAGGAAGTTAACTGGCAATGTTTTTCTCTTGCTCTTTACTCCAGTGCTGTCCTTTGCTTTGCCAATCTCCCTTCTCCACAGGATGTTTTTACATCTCTCCTAGTATCTCTTCCTCCTACTCCTTACATTACCACTTCTAACCCCCCCCCCTTCTACCAGTCTAATTTATTTTGCCATTCTAAGCCCAGACACTTGAATATCTACCACTTCCCCAGTGCCTAACCTTCCTCTTTCTCACTCTACCCATTGCATCAAACAATCTAACCATTCCACCCCATTTCCTGTATCCTCTCCTATACCAACCTCACCTGCTCCTATGATGTCTATCCCCTCTTTTCGTGCTCAGAAGACCTTCATTTCTCAGACCTCCCCAAGCACCTCCTCAGAAACTCTTGAATACATTAAAAAATTCCCAATCATGACGTCCATCCTTTCAACCTCCTATGCCCTCTACATTCAAAGTGACATCTATCCTCCTCATAAGGTTCCCCCTGACACCCCTTCCTCCCACTCCCTCCCAACACATCCTATCCCCCAGCTCCATCTACACCAACCCTCCCTTCCGCTCCCTCATGGATATACACAGGACTCCCTTTTGCCACAATAGTGCCCTTCTCTGGAACCTTCCCCTCTTGAAACTCCTCTCTGATCCCTTGTCTCATTCCCCAATTCTTCCCCTCCTACTTCTCCAACACCTGTTTCTACCCTTATCACTCATTTTTTTTCATACAATTGTACACTGAAATTCTCAGACGTATTTTTTATTGCATCTATTTGCCCTTAACCCCCCTTCCCCTTTTACTAATCCCTGGGCTGCTCCATTTTCATACTCTTTTTCCTTTTCAATACCATACTATCCTGCAGTGCTGCATGACAACGTGTAATACATTTAATCTCATAACTCATTAACTCTACCCTTCTCGTTGCTATACTTTTTTATAGTGCTCTATGACCTTTGATGTCTAGCACATTTAATTGCTTTTAACCATTAACCATTAACATATGTCTAGGTCTACCTCATCATCTTGCTTTCCTGTTCTTCATCACTTGCCCTTCCTCCAGTGTCACAGGTTTATATCATCACAATCTGCTGCATTCAAGCACATCTGTTTACATCTAACATTCCTGTCATGTCCTTGCTCCTGCCATCAAATTCAACATTTTAAAATCAGCTTAATACTTGAGATGAAAGATATTAACCCATTGGCACTGGATGCATTCACTGTTTTGTTTTATTAAATTGTGGGGTGAATTATAAGGGGTACCTTATCTCACATGTTAACCCAGTTTCTTGAGTTTTTTTGGAAAATGGCTTTTATTACTGTTACTAATTTTATTTTAATTAGCCCCTTGCTGCTGGGTGGCATGTAAGTACATGCAACAGCTATTGTGGACCAAGTAGCGAGTGGCATCACATCATGACCATTCCCGCACCATCGTCTCATTGGATGGTGCATGTTTCTCTCTGAGAGTAGTGGCATCATTTCTATGGTGAAACTTTTAGGCAATAGCATTTAAAGGGAAAGTAAATATTCATTAAAGAAAAGAAAAGAAAAGAAGAAAAAAAGTAATAATAACAATATCAAAATATAAGCTTTTAAGTGGCTAACATTACCTGAAAATGGGAAACTGTCAATGTGCGAGAACAAACCCGCGTTTAGGGACCCAGTGGTAATGGGTTAATATGGTTGTTGTACATGGTATCATCATCCTTTATTATTTATATTATTGTTATTGCTTTCATCATCATTTATCAATATCATTATATCATTACCAATTCATTACCTTTATTATTGTTTTTGTTTATCAGCATAATTATAATTATGTCATAAACTAGAATAATGCTAATAAGAGAAAATCTTTCAAAAACTTTGCAGTCATTATTTTTTTGTAGGTTATTATGAAACTTTTACTGTTGCCTTTTTTATCATCTTCATCATCTTCTTTGTGTGAGGGGGGGGGGGCATGATATGTATCAGTCTTTCAGGATGGAGATGGGATTCATGCACATGTCTAAAATAATTATTAATAGTGAATATGGATTCTTAAAATATCTTGGATAAGAATTCATTTCAAGCAACTTCTGTAAAACAGTAGGATGATATTTGCTCACTAGTAATATCTTGCCATTCTTGTTACTCTTAAAGGATGATCTTGTGGTCGTAGATGAAAGATTACTATTACTTCCATCTTTTAAAAGTAAAATTAAAAACTTTTTTTTATTTTTCAGGTTCTTAGTGTGCCAGTTGGTGGTTCCACAGGAGAAACACTAATGATCCAACCTGCTGCAGGCTCTGATGTTACTTCAGGTACAGGCACTATTACCTACACGACAACACAGCTAACAGAGCCTAATGCTGCCCAACCCATCCAGTACACAGCTCTAAGTAATGATGTCATTAATCTCTTATCACATGTGGACTCAAGCAAAGAAAGTACCAGTTCTGATCTGACAGCAGAGAAGGGAGTAACAGTTATTGCCAAACCCTTAGATTGTTCAGTATGTGCTAAGTCCTTTGCACAAAAGCGTACCTTATGGACTCATATGTTGGAAGCTCACCCAGATTTACATTGTTGTTCAGAATGTTGTGCAGCATTTACCTCGCCTGAATATCTTAATCAGCATAAGGCCCAACACCAGAAACTGCACGTGTGTTCAAGATGTGGAATGGCATTCACAAATAAATCATCATTAAACAGACATAGACAGCAGATGCATACCGGAGCTGCTGTTGCAGTGGAAGACAAAGTTTTTGGTTGTGGATCATGTGATGCCAGGTTCCACCAACAGTGTGACCTGCGAAGACACGTGCTAGGACATACTGGTGAAAAGCCTTACAGATGCAAACACTGTGATGCTGGATTCACCAGAACATCAAGCCTTAATAAGCATATGAGAATCCATACTGGAGAGAAGCCTTATACATGTGAAGTGTGTGACCAGTCCTTCTCTTATAGATATCAGTTTAACAGACATAAAATCACCCATAGACAGGATGACCAAAGAAGTAACTTCTCTGTTTCATATGAATTTCAGGAGTAATTTATTGTATATGGAATGATGTGTATCAGCAAATATTCGCTGTTCATTGTTGAATTGCTGATACTTAAATAGGTAACCAAAGGAGTAAGAGTATTATGGGGATTTAAATATACCAAACAGTAATTAGGATTAATGGAAATTATACAAGTGGAAATCCCTTATTCATTCAGAATTAGGAAGACCATGTCCTTGACCAGTCATGCATCCAGTCTGAAAGGCATGTCTTCAGATATGCCACTTATCTGTAGAGGTACCATTGGTACTGTGGCCCACCATAGGGTAGAGAGAACTGTATCATTACCATCACATTATTTTATTCATTTTTTCATTTTATCACTTTGTGAAATTTGTATGTGACACTTTCCTTTGCCCAGGTTTTTGTTCATATTAGGAAATAACTACTGTGTGCCCATTTCAAATTCAGATTGTGTAGCCATACTGTAAAATAGACGCAAGCAATTTGTTTCATAGAGAGATTATTTTTAGTGTATTTTGTGTACTGTATTACCAATATTTTATTGATTTATTCTCTTGTATATTATAATTTGTAATGAAAATTGTATATTGTACAAACTATTAACTGTAAATGTAAAATGTTATATAGTGAAGAGTATTAACCAAATGTAAGGTTATTGAATAACCATTGAGTAGGATGTATTTAAAGATGGTTTCCCTTTTTATAAAGACATCACTAGATAGTGTATGTATAATCTTTGTGCATAAACAAATTAAATTGAAATTCAGCTGAAAGTTTATTTTACCCTTTATAGTGTTATATAGGATTTATGCAGTGGCATGGGATAGATATTCATATCCACACATTACCTTCTGTGAAAATAGGTAAACTACTGACTTCATGTTACCTTGGGTTATTGTAATACAGCTGGAAGTGGTGCTTTAGCGGTCAATTATCGATAGTTGTTTTCCATAATTTCTTATGGAAATTATATAATTTGCATAACTATTCACCAACTAAAAATATTGACAGAATGCATATGCATGTGCACACACATTTATAATTATTTTATATATTACTTGCTCAGGGGGAGATTTAATTTTTTTTTCTCATAACAGTTTTCATGATAAATGAGAAACCCAACATCCCAAACAATACAAGGAAAAAAATATAAGGGCATTAAGGATTATATAATTACATATGGCAGACTGCAATAAGGTTAAATATTTAAATGTATTGATTTAGCTGTGAAATAAAGTATTTTTGCTTAATTATGAAGAGCAAAATTTGGAAAAAAGTGAAACCATGGACTAAAACTTTTTTTTTCTTTTTTTACTCTGATTAGATGCATGTTTGATTGTAAAAAAGAAAATACATTCTTTTCTGAAATTAAAACTTACAATGTTCTTTTCCCTTTATATGGCAATTACTTGTATGATACTGTCTTGGCAAAACATATTATCTGGGAGAAGCAGCAGTACAAACAAAATGGAGAGAGAGAAAATGGTAAACATTCAAACAAGAACTCAATGGTGTATTACAGAATACATAATCAATTATAAAATGTTACAGCATTCTGATGCGCTATTTATTAATATCTTCGTATTATTCAACATAAGGGCCAAGAATTCATACTGGAATACTGCTATTATTGTACATGATTATTTGTCTTATTATCACCAGTACTATAAATCTCATCAAAAGGAAATAAACAGAAACTATTGATTCTATATAACTATCACCTTCAGTTGTGATTCATATGATTCACCTGTTGATCTTAAATGGGAGGAAGACAGAAGAATGGCATGTGTTTAATTCAACAAACTAAGAATTAAGCAAAATTAAAAAAAATTGCATCTACTTCCAATTAGCACCCTGCTGACGGGCACGGCTATTGTCGTCATGGAAAGCCTACCCTTCATGTCTCGCTCTAGCAAGTGAACAGGAAGGGCCGGCTGTACACAGCGAACGCCCTGCAGATAAGGCTGGATGGTTGCCAGTAGTCACCGGAATGAGTGCCACAGAAAATTCTGGCACCGTCAGTGTAGGGTTAAAATCATAATTCACAATAAAGGTTAAAGAAACGATAACTTAACCTGCTGGTTGTATTCCTCTTCACAAGAAATATTAACAAATATTTTTACAAAATGCTTCCCTATTAAAGTAAGGCCTAGGGAGAGCATGAGTGGCAACTTATTCTATCTGGGTGATATTAACGCTTCTGGCATTTAGCACACCAATGGCAGAACTCATGAGCAGCTGAGGTAATGAGTAGAGAGCGCCAGAAGCTCGGACAGAATATATAGAGGAAACCCATATTTTTTTCAAGTTAAAATTATTTTGCTGGTAAATTTCTTACACACCTTAGTCTTTGTTTTGAATGGATATCCTTTCTCTTTAGAGTCATTATCACTATCATTAAACTGCTGTTTTATGACATTAACCATTACTTACTTACCCTCAACACTTTTTTTCTTCTAACCTCATCTAGATATCTGCAGGTGCTCAGAGAAATATAACTTTTTGTATGTGTTCTGAATCTTCAAGGAAGTTTTAAGAGCAAATGTTGCACTGCATGCCTCAAGCAACATTCCATGCATAAAGGACAGATGTGGGGGAGGGAGGGGGGAAACTAGCTCTAACAGAAACTTAATAATGAACATGAATTCTCAGTTTCACTCATAAGTGTGCTGCTAATGTGCTGTAAAAGCTTCAGACAGGACAAGAATACCTTATTAGGAAACTGCTGGCAGTTTAAAAAAAAAACTGCTCACCATAAAATCTTACCAACATAAGCAAAAAATATAGCAGTCCCACATTTAATAACTTATCTCAAATTTAAAGGATGAAACTTTCAAGAAACTTTTATACAAATATCAAATGACAGCAAAACATTATGAAAATTGAGCAAGTAATACTATACAAATCTTGTTTCTCACAGAGAAGCCTTTTGCTGCAATTTTCTTTACTCAGAGGGCAAGCCAGCTGCTACGCCATACATGTGTGTAAAGCAAAAGATAGAATACATAGTTATATGATGTCACTGCCTTCACAAACCTGAGTCTTGTATTTGTCTGATCTTTTCTATGTCATAATGGATATCACCTATGAAGACTATGATGTATGGCTGAAATTACCTCATAAGATGCAACTTAAATCCTTTTCTTTCAAAAAATTATTAAGGTTAATCCAGACTAAAAAGTCATAAATGGGGAACACAAACAGTAGAAAATATTGTTTGATGGAATCCCTGTAAATAGTTCAGATAAAACTTTCCCACTATCACTGGACAGTGCACTACCAGCTGATACCAGTGTCATGTCAGTAGCATAGGACAAGGTAATTAAAACTCAAATTCTTTTTACCTCTTAATAGTAACATATTGAATCTGCATGAAAGCGATCTCACACACATTATATACACAAAGGAGTGGCAGCATAGGTGTTTGAAGCATACAACCACATAACAGTTAGTGCTGGTCAGTTACCTGCACCAAACACAGGGTCTCCTAACATGTATGAACTCAGGTTTTGATATATGAAAATCTGTAATTGACTTTCTTTGGACAATTTCGAGATAACAAGCCACTGGAAATCAGCCCATAGCTTAGCTGTGCACTTAACAAGAGATTTCATATTCTAAATTAACTTATAATTTGTTAAAGAGAGGGTACAAGTATAACCTAATCCCAAGTCTGACTGAAGAGAAACTCTGCAGCGAGGTTCTCATTCTTCTCACAGGCAAAGTAAGCTTGGATTACCACATCTTCAGGGAAATTACCTAGAGCTTTCAGCTGAAAAGGAAAAATAATATGCTTATTCCATATTCCAAATAAATTATAGTCTCATTTACAGGAAAAGCATATTTCCAAGGAAAGTACAAACTACTTGCAGTTTACATTGCATATGACAGCAAATCTGTATTCACATAAAGACTAGCTGTAAAGGGGTGCAACTACTATAACTTATTACTTGTTTGATGATAATGTAAAATTAAATGAATTTGGGAAAAAGGTTTAGAAGCTTCAAACTGTCAAAGGTCATAACAAGAATTATTTTTACATCAATAAAGACAAATAACTGGAGTTAAGACTCCTAGCTTGTATGTAACACCCAAAAGGAAACCATTGCTGAATATCCTACAGGCAACAAAGGATATAATTTATATTTACCCTTTCAATGGCATCTCTATCCTGAGGGGAGACAAGGATTGCATTTTGTCCAGGAGCAGCACGGCCACCACTGCCATCTCCACCTTGATTACCACTACCACCTCCTGTGCTACCACCTGAAATGAAAGTGGGTGGTCTTTAAGTATAGATTAATCCCTGCTACATCATATGAGAATAATATTGAGTTCACAACAATTTGGAAAAAAATGTATTTCTTCATGTTTTTACTACTTTAGATAAATAGACATATCTTGAGCTCTTCCCACTATATTTCATATAATAATATAACATCATAGAGCATCTAGCCTTTATGACCTGTCTAGTAATGAATCAGAAGTCCCAAACTTTACAAGCTATATCACAAATAAAATTTTACTGATGACAATCAGTTACTCAAAACTATGGAGTATCTTACTTTCAGTGAGAATACCGTACATCATATTTTTACAAACAGATCACAAAAATATTGGAAAAGGAGAATGAGACAAATATAAGAAAAATATGAAAATATGTAGATGAGTATTAACATCACCATGGTTAGGGTTAAGGTTATGTGTGAATGTATGAAGAAAGGGAATATGGAATAGGAAGATAAATATAACAAGGAGAAGGATAATAAGAAATAAACATAAACAAGATATGAATAAAACAGAGAAAGAGAGAATTAGAAAAAAAGGAAGTCAAATAAAACAAAAGTCCGCTGATAAGTGCATTTTGGAGTATTTGTTTGAAGACCAGTTACAAGCTGTCAAGATACTATAATCCATCTGTTATCCAAAAACATTCATAACTCAGTGCCTAAGAACCACATCAAAGAAAAAAATAAATGAACAACATTCACCAAAAGGTCTAGTGCTTTCAGAAGAGTTTTGCATACCTCCAGAACTGCCACCTTCATTCAGCATACGCACAAAGGCCTCCTGGTTTTGCTGGATCACCTGAAGTAGCTGCGGATTTGTTTGGCCAATTTGCTGGATGAATGCATCCAGCAATGATGGATTGGACCTGGAAAATTATGTGTACTTATACATATTTCATTGGAAAAATGTGTTGGGGCTCCTCCTTTCCGCTTATTGCCACTTTATTTACTTCAGACTCAACACATTTCTCACCATCCCAAATGTAACTTACCTAATCATTTGTCGCATCTGCTCAAATTGAGGCTGCGATCGAAGGAAGTTTAAAGGATCCTCTGTAAAGTATAACATGGCAGAATCAGTACTGAATTAACAGAGACCTCTTCCCATCCACCAAACTAATCCTTTCCTTTTGCTCTTTTTTCTTGACACACATACCTGGCTGAAACCACAGATTCATCCTCAAAAGTACAAAACGAAAGAAAGAAAGAAAGAAAGAAAAAAAGCCTCCAATATCGATGCATCCTCTGGCAAAAGTCACAGGATAAAACACTTTTGTTCTTTTTGCAACTTTTTAATGCTTCCATTAATTCCATTTACATACAACTTTTTGCAGTCCTTACCATTGTATATTGACACAAGAAAATTAGTTTATGCAGTGCATTCAAAACACCCAGGGGGAGAATTGTGTATATGCTCACTTAGTAACTCCGCTCTTTCTCCTCTTTCTTCTCTCAAAATGGTAGCAAAATAGCAGCAAGGCTACAGAAATATGCAACCTAACCTGCTCTGCTAGATGACAATAGAGTGGGCAATGCAAAAGTAGGAGTAATATATGGATCTCTGGCATAGTAAGTTTAACTGGTTTTGTATCCAATGTTAGACACCTGATGGTAAGAACTGAAATGCATTTTACTGCATCATACTCCTCAATCTAATTGCCATTTTTTTCATGATTCAAGGTCTCAGTCATTTGACCATTAATACCTTGTATCTGATGACATAGGTTTCATGGCAGTAAGCCAGACATTCTCTTGGCTCAATCCTGTTAGTGTCATAGATGCCAGATCAGTCTCGGAAGACCTCCAACCCAGAATACTGGGTTGTTGCTCCAGGGGGTATTCACTTGAAATTATATAAATTCCATATTTTCCCTTAAAGCCTTTGGACCAGAAAACTTTTCTGGATTCCAAATGAATCCTGGGGACCTGTTTTGGGTATACCATGGTCAAAAGGATAATATAATTCTGTCAAACTGCTTATCAAATGACAGCATACTCACTTAGTAGCCCAAGCAAAACACTTTTGTCTCCACACATCAAAGGTGATGATCTGGCTGCAGCTATGCATTTCATGGAGTGATTCCTCACCATAGGATTCTGTTCAGTGTCAGTTTGAAACAACTTCACTTCCATCAAATCAAACCCTTTTATGTGTTAATATTTTGTAGTTGTCTAGCTTTTTCAAAAAATAAAATCAACAAAATGGAAAAGAAGTGGTGTCAGGGGTGACCTGGAAAAAGAAGAGGACAGGTCGTTCTAGTGTGTTTTACGCAAGGAATAAAGGAGGGATCAATAAGTTTTGACTCGGGAAAATGAGGAGGGGGGTGCATTTCGTAGTCCACAATTTTTCTTTGAAGCTTGTTTTAGCTTTAGAAATTGTATTTTTTGTTTGTCTTAACTCTTTGAATCTATTGTTTATTTTTAGTGATTTGAGAAGCATGTGGACACATGGTAATTTGTTTTACAATTATAATTTGCAGAACTAATGAGTTTGGGGGGCAGTTATGGGGCAATATATCATAGAGGAGTAGGAGGAGATGGTGGGAGGAAAGAGAGAGGGTAAGGAGGAGAGGGTGGGAGGAAAGAAAGAGATGAGGAGGAGAGGGTGGGAGAAGAGGGAAAACAAGAGAGGGTAAGGAGGAGAGAGTGGGAAAAGAGAGAGAACAAGAGAGGATGATGAGAGTGTGGGAGGAGAGAGAGGGCAGGATGACAATGAGAAGGAAGTGGCATGAATGGGAGCGAGGGAGAGAGAGGGAGAGAGAGGGAGAGAGGGAGGGAGGGAGAGAGAGAGAGAGAGAGAGAGCGAGAGAGAGAGAGAGAGAGAGAGTCGTATAACTTCGCATAATGTATGCTATACGAAGTTATTACGCAAGAGAGGATGATGAGAGTGTGGGAGGAGAGGGAGAGGGCAGGATGACAATGAGAAGGAAGTGGCATGAATGGGAGAGAGGGAGCGAGGGAGAGAGGGGGAGAGAGAGAGAGAGAGAGAGAGTCGTATAACTTCGCATAATGTATGCTATACGAAGTTATTACGCAAGAGAGGATGATGAGAGTGTGGGAGGAGAGAGAGAGGGCAGGATGACAATGAGAAGGAAGTGGCATGAATGGGAGAGAGGGAGCGAGGGAGAGAGGGGGAGAGAGAGAGAGAGAGAGAGAGACTGTCTGAGATTGGATTAGCATTAGAGAGAGAGAGGAAGAAAGAAAGAGAGGGAGGGAGGAGATTGAAAATAGGAACTGAGGTGGAGAGGAAGACAAGAGAGACTAAGAAAAGAACTAAATGGTGTAACAGAACATGGCAACTTATGTGGACAAGACAGCAGGAAGAAAAAAAAAAAGAAAAAAAGAAAAGAAAAGAAAAAGAGAGAAAAAAAGTAGTAGAAAATAAGAAATAGAAAAGAGGGGTGGCCATACAGAAAAAAAGAGAAGAAAAAAGAA